TTTATTTTTATGTTGTAAGATCAAGAGGAACTTATTCAAGCTAAAAGTGACCAACAGAAAATCCCTTGAAAAAGGGATTGATTAATGAAAAATTCTATCCACCTTTCCTTGAATTTCCTTCTTGAGCTCTTGAATTTCCTCTGGGCACATAAAAGCACACTACTCTTCCAAATTTGGAGTGTTAGTAATTTCTATGTTTCTTACATCTTTCAGCTAAAAAGTGAAGGTGAAAGTAGTAAGAAATCAAGCCTTTTCTAGCTTTTCCTCTGTTTAGTTTAAGAAATTAATAAAAAAAATTTTATCACAACTACCTTATTATTATTATTATTATTGCTTCAATTTTATTGAGTGCCTATTATGTGCAGGTCACTTTGATAGGAACTGAATATCTATTCTCTCATTATCTAGAAATGCTACCTGCTGGCCATACACTAAACATTTTAGAAAACTATTTTCATTTTTTAGCTTTGAAAAAATTGTCAATATTTGAAAAATCTCCGTGGACTATGCAAGATGATCCAGTGATAATTGCCACACATTGATATTTAATGGCATGCTTTGAGCTTATTCATAGTTTTAAGAGTCTCAAATCTTAAGTTCTTGGAGACTTTAAGTATCTGAAAACAGCTAGCTATTAACAAAAAAGGTCCATGTATACCATAATAATTTTATATAGCACTTGCCTATAAAAGAACATTCTGTAATGCTAAAACAATACATAAATTCTTTTGATCATGTTTTCTTACTTATTTTGAAAACATCCCTGAAACCCTAATTTTCCAATATTGATGAAATAAGTACAAAGGAGAGGAAAGTCTGCTCAGGATCTGAGAGAGCAGGGGCCTGTTTTATAAACTCTGCTTATAAACAGAGTTGATCAGCTATGTTTGGAAAAATTCAGATTAAGTTTTCTGTAAATACAAGGGATGAATGTCATGACTTTTAGATTTTTTAGGACTTTGTTCTGCCTTCGTGAATTCTCACATCAATACATTTTATTTTCTGCCCCAAACCTTCAAGGAAGAATCTGTTGCCATTGACCTCACAATATGCCCTGGTTCTAGAAGTCAAAACGCTCTTCCTAACCTATTCCCTATTGTCTCGGTCTCAGGAGAAATGGAGAAAAAAATAGTTCCCGAATATTGGTTCTCCTACTTGGAGACTATCAAATGGTATCCTTTCAATTCCAACAACCTTCCAGCCTTCAGATGTTCCTTCCATTACATAACGGTGCCTATGTTACACGGCCCGTTTCCTTTTTCATCAGTTGTCAAGAAGCTGAAAGTTCAATTTTGTGCAAACCTGCAGTTCCCATTCTTAACATTTGTTTTGGAATACAACTTTTGTACTCTCTTCATTATCACAAGGCTAATATTTCTTTTTCTTTACTTTATTGGTCCTCTTACATTTGGGTCTTCTATTATGAGCTGTCAGAAATTCTTTTGGGAAGGAGTTGGGGTATAAATAATAAATTGATAAAAGAATTCATGATTAAAGAGAAGATAGGACCCATCACTCTATTCTTCTGCTAACATATCAGTAATGAATATTAAAAGCCTACATTAAAAATTAGCATACAATATATTGCTTTATATAATTAGACATCCATATATTTGCCACCTCGATTTTTAATTCATGGGTAAATTTTCATTTATGGAGTTAATGTTACCAAAAAGAGCTTTTAAACTGAGTGAATTTTTAATTAGAATGGTAAAAAAGTTGCTCCAAGGCACCAATGAGAGCATAACAAGAAAACTAATTGATCAATCATGAGCAACTGTAATAGCAAAAAAAAAAAAAAATGTAAAAGGTCCGTGAAAACCACGCAAAGTTCTGTACACACTCAGGTTGTAAGTCATTCAAACTGTTTATTCATACACACACACACACACACACACACTTCCCAATATACACCTCAGAGTATAAAACTAAATAAGCAGACCCCTCTGTGAACAATTTTATTACTCTCTTTTAGGCTGGGGCTGAACTTTTGAAGATGATGAGCAAAATAGTTTCCCATAAAAGATAATTTCATTTGCCAAAATGAAACTACTTTCCGTTATTAATGCTGTAATGAAATGGTTTGAAATATGAATCTGTGATCTGAACAGAAGGGATGCTCCTGTTCCCGGCTCCAGGAGGGAGTTCTCTAAACAATTACACCCACGGAGAGGGCTGTACGGTTGTATTTTCATCACCGGCCAGCTGAGCTGTGTGCCTGTCATACTCCTGGTCTCCCCTCCAGTGACAGCCGCATTGACAACATGTTATACTCCACATTGATTTTACAGTTAAGGAGCTGATTGTGATATATAGGGATTTTAAGAATTCAGCTGAGAGGCTGACTTTTGCCTTTTATCATTCCATTAAAATTTTATAACCATCTTTTTCATGTCATTTCGTCCATGAATTCTTACTTTAGAAAGTGATAGCTACTGCTGTGAGCATAACTTTTCTCATGTTCAGAGCTTTTTATTGTATTAGCAAACTACCCCAATTA